GCATCTACTTGAACTGTGCCGGCATGGATGGTGGAAAGATGGAGTGCAGCTTGGGTTCTACATGGCTCACAATAGATGACACAGCATTGAACATCTAATTCTTTCAGAACTTCGTACTGTTCAGTGGTCACAGCTAAACAAGCAATGTGGAACCAACTGGAACAGCCCTGGCATTCAACGGCTTTCGTCCGACGTGTGATATTGCAGTAACATTGAGGACATTTCGTAGAATTCGTCGTTTTGAGAAATTAGCAGATTCCAAGTAAAAAGATCTAATGAAGAAGATTTGTATAATAAATACAAAGACTAAAAGCCTTTCTTCTCATAAATAGATCGATTGATAGAAATCTTCCACGTTGTCTCAAAATTTGACCCAACCGCGGTCAAAGTCAAGGTAGGTGATGAATGCTATTGTCTTCGCCCACGAAAACCGCTCATTTTTTTCGGGAAATATCCATCTGGACAATATTTTTGACTGTGAATCACTGGGCACTTTAGTGGCCCGATATGTTTCCATTCCTACATATTATTGTCGTCTTTTCTATTTCTTGTTCTGATACATTCATCTTCTCGTCTCCTTGCACCTTTCAAAAGGAAGTCAGTGAATGATATCTGCCACATTGGAATATGAACAAATTGTTGAGGCCTGTTTGCGCTTAATACAGAACCGACTTGCTTGCCGATACACCTTTTACGAGTTTCCTAAAGAGAAAGTTGATGCTGGAGTATTTCAGAGTGTATTTCTCTGCTGTCAAACATCAGATGACGCATCAGGTCCCAAAACACCCCTCCGTCTGGATGAATTGGCCAGTTTCAGTGTTCATGCCTCAACTGAAAAGAGTCCTAACTGGAAGGTTTCCGCCGCCAGTCTTCACTGCATCCCTCGTGCCTTTCCAGACGCTGCTGGCACAGCCCTCTTTGGCATCTGTATACCCATAGCCGGCTCTCCTGACGCCTCAGGTTTCAGCATCGAAGTGACCGCAGAACCCTCACTGCCAGCCTCCTTGTGGAGATCGGTAGTCATAAATCTGCCGCGGGTAGATAGGCTCTACCTCGTGGCCATCACATCGACCAATGTCCTTGAGATGTCCACCTCCCAGGGTGGGTCCGACAGACTGCTGCTTCACTTAACCGTTAATTGCCACCGCGGTGGCGGCGCAGAACGTGTGCTGCTTCCGTGTCCTCTGACACTTTCTCTGGTGCGACTCCTTGCGGGCGACTACGATCCGCCCGTCCGAGAGGCAGATGCCAGTAGCGTGTTAAGGTGGACAGCAATTGCGGCTGCTGTGAATCCATGCCTGCTCTCGCTGCAGCCGACTTCCTCGACGAAACAACATCTCCTATCATCATCATCATCATCATTGGCGCCGGCATTGGAGTTCTTGCTGCGTGACCACACCACTGAACGTCTCAGCAGTGCACAGACGTGGACTTGGCTGCCAAAAGGTCTTCTTACGGGTTGTTGCATTCGTGTACACGAACGCGACGATCATGCCTTACTGCAGCTTCTTGCTCCGTAAGTTTCGAATTGCTGTCGGACCCCATTTTGATTTACGTAGCGCTTGTTGGCATTGGATATGACCAAGAAAACTGTCAGTTGGTGGAACGTTCTACAGCCTTTTGTTTCTCAATACTCAGATTGCTTGGAATTGTGTCGTCAGGAAGTGGTAGTCTCGAACAGATCTAACTTCTCTTGTTTGCAGATTTTTCCTTGACCAGAGGGCACCACGCTATTGTCGGAAGAAGTTGAAAATCTTTGTAAATCCGGTGTTCAGAACAATAGTGATTGCTTGCCCTCAGTGCGCAACGTTTATTGCAAATCAATTACCTTGTACAGTGAGACAAGAATATGCTGCAGATTATATTTTAACCTTTAACCCTCCTGATAGATCTATACCCATAACTGGGAAGTCTCATAAAACTTTCGGATCTCGGGGAAGGCACGTTTGGCAAAGTGGGTGCGACGCTGTAACAAGAAGTGAAAACTGGAGGGCTGCCTTGGAAGACTGTGATTGCTTGATGACTTGCGTTTGATAGTTGCGGCAATTTAGGTCTGTTGTTGGACAAATTGTGTACTCATAGTCCCGAGTGACCGACAACTGATGGAGGTCATCTCGGCGGATGCTATGCCACACTCCTAGGATGGTAGTGCGCGGATTTTGGTGGGAAATCTCGAGGGATTTTTTCTAGGCCATAGCTTCGTTTTTTTAACAACAAAAACTTACTAATACCAAGACTCACAGTGAAATTTTCTTTATTTACACCTGTCGGCACCATGGATGGAAAACTAGCTTCAGGAGATGTATTGCAGTAGACACCCTCGCAGTTGCTCTAAGGGTTTTCCATTTCCCAAAATAAAGCTAAAATTTGCAATAAATCAGTATTCGTCGATGTGACATTAACTGTGTCTCTTTCCTATAAGACACAGTCCCGAGATCGATTAAAGGTCGTTTTATCCCGATATAGAATAGGGCATAAGTCGCTTTTTGGTTTTTCCTTTGGATAAATTTTACATGGTATGGGGACTTATGGGCGGCCTTTTATACGTGCCCAGACTACTCGCTGTTAAATGCGAAGGCCTCAAGTCCCCAAGTTGCTAACGTGGAACTTCCTCTTTTGCCTTTTCTCAGTTTTATCGTTCTTTCTGTGTCTTTTATTTTACCTCCACCTCAAATCATCACCGCGTCTTTGTTTTTCTTATTTTAATCTACTTTTTCCTCTTCTAATTTACCAGCCCAAAACTCCTCCCGATTGTGACCAAATGTCTATTGTCTCAGCGCTTCTCCGAGCAGACTGGCATCTCTCTTTCCAGATGTGAGTCTAAGATCGCCGATCAAACCAAAGGCATGAAGCCCCAACTTCGTTGTATCTTGCTCGCATTGCTTGAGGAGGTGCGGCGGACGACTGAACTGCTGAAAGCCTCCATTGGGGAAATCATGCAGGAGCGCGTGCCCCTCATGACAGACATCACACCGCTGGCCAATAGCCTCACAGCGGCTGATACTGTTTCTGATTGGCGGTCTCGCGCCACCGCCACTGAACTTGATTGGTCGCTTCTGAAGGTCATTCTGCTGAAAAAGAGTAGCCTTCTGGTTCAGCTGGCCCACGCTAGGCTGCGTTCTGACGAGCTTATGCAGCGCTTTTGCCTAAACTGACAAACAAACGTTGGCATTTTCCCCGGTCCCCCCTCTTCCTCCCCCCCCACCAAGATGATGCTGTTTATTTTTATATATTTTTTTATTCGGTATTTACCTCCTTAGACACAATCACAACTCATCCTTGATCATAATGTTGACGTTTTCATCCGATTGTGTCATTTGGATGCTCATCCGAGTTGCGTGTTTCCCGACGCCTACTTCCTCCTTCGTCAGGACACCGTCGTTATTTTCGTCCTTTTCCAGGAAAATGTGTTCGGCCTCTGCTCTCGCCTGGGCGTCAACACCTGTAGAGCGTAAGGAAGCAGAAGGCATACGTTGTTTTGTGCTGAGTAGCGCTTAATGTCTGGTGTTGGAAGGCACTTATATTTGTAGAAATGCATTACCGACAAAGATGAGGAAGACTGGAATGGCCATTTCTGGCTTATTAGTCGTCATCGGTCGGTCATACGCCACCCCAAGCGGTGCCTCACCCGAGTTTCAAACCCGCGACCTTGTTAGTTAGAAGTTCAACGCTCTAACGAGGGATTTCTGTACCAATCGGTGGGCGTCCATCTATGAATATCGCGTCTAACTGTGTGCCAACGTTTCCTTTTTGCGTTGGTGAAGCATTGGGCTCTCCGGGCAGTTGGGGCAACCCTGGACGCTTACTTAGCGTCCAGTGTAGGGCAGAACATGCAGTATCCATGTTCTACAAGCTTTGTCGAATTACTTGGTAGCCGCACTGTTCTGAGTACGGAATAATGTTTTTCTCCAGTCAGGCACACTCAAGCAGAGGGCTAATAGTTGTCTTTAGTCAAGCCTACACTTCGGTTTCTGTGCCCAGCCCCAAAGTAGTCAGGCGTGTCTGAACCCTCTCCTGAGGTGAGAGTCACTCAAAGTTTGCCGTCGCCTGTGCACTTTCTCTTCTAGTCTACTTCGTCTTTCTTTTTTGCTGTTAGACGGAGGCTCATCACCTATGCTAGGTCTTGGATCGGCAAAAATGTTTTGCAGGAGGGTGGTTGATTTTCTTGATGCTGTGATAAACATATTGGTTTGCCGGGACATGCGGCTGTGATCTTCCTGAGCTTTTTCAAGATGCTGCTGCTGGGATTACTCCGACTCTAGCCTTCGAATCAGCCAGAAAAGCCATTGTATCTTGCTGCTGTTTCCGATGGCCTTAGCATCGTTGGCCCTTTGAGAGTCTAGTCAGCCTGCTTCTCATCACAAATCTCCAATTAATCAGAAACCCTGTAAAGTCGTTGCTCACGGGGCTTCTTATAGCCTGCCGTGCGGCAGCTTCCTTTTATTTATTCAGTTGGATTTTGGACCCCCTCAGCACATTACTCTAATTTCCTGACGATTTGCATCGCAGCCAGTAGGAATGATACGTATTATCTCGGTCCTGTAAGGCCTTTCTTTGCAAGTATCCCACCCACCTGTCTACTAGAAAGAGCTCGGAAACGCCTCCAGTAATAAAAGTGAAGAGGTGAGTTCGAGGACGCAGTCGCGAAGAGGTTTTCCCTCGACAATCTGAAGCCGGGCTATTACCACATGGACTCCGGACAGCAGTTATTTGTAAAAATAATGCTACTTAAATTTTGTAAATACTACTTTTTTGATAGTGACAATTTTAAGGATGCGTGCACATGTAAATGGCATACCGGCATATAAACAATAGGGTTTTCAAGGGCATCGCCTATTATCTCCGCCAAACAAACTGAAAAGGAGACACAATTGTTGTAGCAAGAGCTCAATTAGCCTAACGTTTCGGATTCTCATTCGTATGCATCGCGGGTAGTAGCACGTTGTGTGATAATTACCCGCAATCAGGTTGCTAAGTGTCGGAGCTTCGTCCTCCGTGTGGGTTCTTGGACCATTCAGCTCGGTGACACTAGCATCAGGACCAGTGGCCATCCGCGTGGTTTACTGATCTCTCTAGGCAGTCTCTACCGAATATGCAGCGGGGAGGTCTTTCCGCCTTGTTAGTTGACCGAGGACCTAACTTGAGCAGTTCATGGCTCAGGTGGTTGTCTTCGTTTGTGAGACTTTCAGCTTAATCAAACTTGAATGTGTGGTTGGGTACCACCGAATAAACCGCGACTAAATACTGTAACACCTGAGTAACCCACTACCCTTATCTAACCTTGTCTCTGGTGATGGCTGCGAGTGGGAATCCTAA